TAATTAATTCAGATGAGAGGAGTGCATTTTACAACGAAAAGCACCAAAAGGAGTCAGGACCATGTGTGTCTGAGGTTCAGCCGTGCAAAAGATGCTGTATCTACAGCAACGCTGCAAATAAATACATCCTATTGATTTCTGTAACATGTCCACAACATTTTACAGAAAAAGCTGTTGTTATATGACTGATGAGAAACAGAAGGTTCGACAGGCCCCACTGAACCATACTTGAAGGGATCAGAGCCACGATTCAGAGTCCTTGTCTGCAGATCTTTGTTCTTACGTGAGAATAAAAATAGACAGACCACCTCCTGCTACAATCACTTGCTAAGAAAGTAATTACTAATGACAGCTACTGTTTGGTTGAAACTACACACTGCATGTGATTTAAATCACTTAACCACAGGTATGTGCATGTTGCTCGTGTAATGCTGTGGCTCAGGCTGGTATGTTCACAGACTGGCTGGACTGGTTTTGGTGGAGCTCTACACCAGAAGTTCATCATGAGAAACGAATCATTTTTACTACCGATTAATCTGCTCATTGATTATTAGCGTAATTTTAAAATTGCAAAAACAAAAGATCTTTATTTTTAAGATGATGTCTTACTAAGTTTTATTTTATCTATCCAACAGTCCAAAACTGGGGGGAAAAAAAAGGTTCAAGGTTTTGAGGTTTCTACAGAGTGCTGATGACTGATTTGTGCGTGTGTGTGTGCGTGCCTCACCCAGAGTAATGATGTATGGATGCAGCCAAGGCGTTGCCTGATCCACCAGGAAGGATACCCAGTGGTGTCCGGATGGCCTCCTCCCAATCTGGCCTCTCTAGCAGACCATTTATCACCTGACGCACACAGAAAATACAGCCTCAGTAAGGTGGCCTGAAAAATTTACTGTGTCAGCTAGACAGTGACAGATATACACTGTATGGACCAAAGTACGGGGCCACCTGCACATCAAACCACCAGGAGCTGGTGACCGTGGAAAGCCATGCAATTAAGTTTTTGCGCTGATGTTAATGCAAGAGGAGGTTTGGAACTGTAAGGCTGAGGTTCTGTGGTCCCCACACGCTTCCACTTTGCAATAATAGCACTTAGAGCTGATCATAGAATATTTAGGAGGGAAGAAATTTCATAAACTGACTTGCTGCAGCAGTGGTGTCCTGTTACAGTCACACGCTTTACTTCAGTGAGCTCTTTAGAATGATTCTTTTCACAAGGTGTTTGATGAAAGCAGCTACATTCAGATATCAAGAGAAAGTGTGGCCCAATTTTGTCCATAGTTTACTTGCATTTACAATGTATGTTTTGCTGAAAGTACAGTAATGCAGGTTGTAAATATTGCCATCATATCAACAGTTTATGATACTCTTAGAAACACCTGCAGTGCATGCAGCAGAGTAGCAGAGTCAAATGGCATCTGCACAGCAGGTTTCCAACCACCAATCCATCCATACACTTTTTTAACTGCTTGTCCAATTCAGGGTCGTGGGGGCCTAGAGCCTATCCCAGTTGTCATAGGAGAAAAGGAAGGGTACACCTGAGACATGATGCCAGTTTATCACAGGGTTAACATAAATTAATCACCAATCAACCGAATACGCATGTCTTTGGACCGTGGGAAGAAGCCAAAGTTCTGAACAAAATCCATGCAGGCAGGGGAGAAAAACACAGAAAAGCTCCTGCCGACTGAAATGTTCAAACTAGGAAACCTCTGTGTGGGCTGACAACGCTAACCACTGCTACACTGTGTTGCTGAAATTTCTAGCATTGTACATATGTATATATTCTATGTAGCAAGTATTGTATGAAATACTGTGGTGGGGAGAAACAATAACTTGTGATTTTTCCCACTTCAACTCTAACATGTCGTTGTCATCAGCTCCAAAAGTCCGGTATTGGTCAGGCTCCGACAGTCAGCATCCAGCCTGGTAGCACAATCTTTTGTAGTACTGTGGAGTGCTAATATTCATGTGCTCACAGAGAGAATAGAAAACTATTGTGTTTACGCCATTGTACTCACTCATTTTACCTTTTAGGAATGCAATTTTAACCATTTTAGACCGAAATAACCCAGGCAGAGTCTATGTACATTTAACCTAACACTGTCTGTGTGATGGATGACTGTGAGGTGTATTTGGTGGGTTGAGTAGCTGACTGCTGTTTCTACTGGCCAGCTCTTTTTTGATTGGCAGGCTACATTTTTAGTTATTTGTCTAATAAATGTCAGAAATTACCCATGTCTTTAAAAAATGACCATGCAATCAAAACATTTATGCCCAAAAATGCTGATTTTACGTAATTTGCTTTTATGTAAATATAAAACGATGTAAAACATTATTGTTAATAGAATCTGGCCAAATGAAACATACTTGATCGGCATACATACAGTTTATAAAAAGTATATTTGAATAAATAAACAGCTGAGTTCATATATTCCAGCTGGATTGGTTTTGAGATTACGGTTGTGTTTTTGGTTATGAACATAGTGCACGTGTGTGTCTTTACCTCATACAGAAGTCCGTCTCCTGACATGATGACTAAAGCGTCCCACTGCGACAGGTCAGCCTCTTTCACCATCTCCCGAGCGTGATTCTGCCGCTCTGCAAGACAAACAGAGAAAATATGTAAAGTATGTTGACTCATGCAGGTTTGTCTTTGCTGGAAGAGAAATCTGAAAAGGGAGACACATTCTCAAAATGTCAGCTTCATTCCTCCTCATAGAGGTGTAGCTACTTGTGTTACAGCTGAATAGCATAGCTGGGCGAGCACGGCCAAAAGACAGCAACATGACACAAACACGAACACCTGAGGCAGTCTGAGTAGATCCCTGCTCCTCCTGTAGTTTTAGTCTTCCTCCCCTTCCCTTCAGTTTCCAAATTAAAGTATCACCGTGGGAGGGAAAGTTGATATATGGTCTTAAATGAAGCGCCTGTCACACCGCCAATTAGATTGAGAGAGCTAAATTACTCAGGAGCACTCTGTCAAATTACTCCGAGAATGAATAATCTGATGTGCGTCTGTCGCTAATGGGCCAGCTGCTTGGATGGTACAGGAGTAAACTTTTCTACTTTTTGGTGTTCATGATTAAAGCTTAGACTTTAAAATGAGGGGGAAAAATCCAGATGGGTACAAAGCAGGTATAAATGTAACACGTGTACAAAAGTTCAGAAAAAACTAATTATTGTGGACATACCAACAAACCACAACATCAAAACCACGAGTATTTAGAAGGTTTTTTGTTTGTAAGGCTGTCACACGCGTAGGCATGTGCGATATGACCAAAATCTCATATCCCGATATAAGAATTCTATCGTCCGATAACGATATAAAAATCACAAAAATGTAACATTTTCTGTAAATTCTGTGACTCTCGGGCAGCTCGACTTGCGTGAACTGTTTAATATAAGAGTACTGTATACTGTATACTGTAAAATATAAGAGAAAGAGAGAACTTTAAGAAATTAATATAGCCACTACAGTGACCATCAAAACGATGAAAAAATATTGCCGTAAACAGTTTATTTTGCGACACCACGAAACAAACGATAGCGTAAAATGAAACGATAGACATTTTTATATCGTCATCCGATATATATCGTTATATCGAACAGCCCTACACACGCGTGTCACATCTGAACATTTAATTGCACAAGCCTCGTGAGTTTTCTTAATCAGGTTTTTGAATATTCCATTCGCGTTTGTCAGCTCTTGTAGGAATCCTTTGTATCTCTCTTTCACTGTCAGAGTCTCCTTCTCAACAGTTTCAAGGTTAAAGGGCAGAAGAAGTGCTCTGAGGCGTAAAACACACACTCACACACACAGCAGCACCACTGGTTTGTGTTTCTGTTTCATATTTCTTATTTTTCTTTACAAAGCAGCAATCATTCTCTCATTTGATTAGATAAGAAAAAAAAAATTAAGGTAACGATGAAGCATTTCAGTAAAGTTGGACTTTAGATTGTTGAAATAATGGAATCACTGGATTTCTCACTGTATCCCCACTAAAAGTATCAAGTATTTAGACATTTAGTATTACATATTCAACATGGTGCTTATATTTCATACTTACAAAAGCTATTAAGAACATATTTTATTTTTTTTAATACCACCACGCACTGCTTTGTTGAAGATGGGTTTGTTTTTTTTAAATAGGAACAGAAACCAGACACTGCTCTCATTCAGCAGCCTGTTAGTTATGCTAATACACTAATACGCTTCCAGTGCCGTTGCGAGCCAGTTTGGTCTTGGTGTCTTTTCGGACCAGACTACATTTTCACAGCTCTGAGAACCGATTATTACATACCATAAATAGCGGAACGTGAAATATGAAGAAATATGAAATATGTATGAAGTTACTTCTGTAAAAATGCTTAAAGTTCTGATTTTAATACAAAGATACATGCAGATTCCATGCATTAATTAACCCAGCATACAGACACACATGCACTTCTCTCTAGTGACGGATCTATTTTTTTTCTTCCTTTCTTTCTACTTCCTCTTCCCTGAAACCCACAGAATGAAGGAATCAATTCCTCCTCATCAGTCCAGTCACATCACATTTAGTTATTTGCGCAGAGTCTGAACACTGAAAAGGTTTAAAAGGCCTCCAATCAGCAACAAAGCTGCAGAGCAGCAACACTGCGGTGTGGCTGAAGGATAACTCCTCACATCGGTCAAACCATTAGGGGATGGTGGAACTGCTTGTTATGGTTTTTATAGTAGTTGCTGCAGTGGAGAGGAGACAAAATCAAGTACTGTTGAACTTTTATGTTTCTAGCTTTGAACAGGTACTTAACAGCAATGTACCGACTGCAATTTCATGTTGAGCAACATTTGACTGACTCTGGAACTGATTGGCACAGATTGGCAGAGCTGTGAAAACGAGGGCAGCAGATGGCTACAACAGAAGATTACAGGCCACTGTGAGAGGATCACGATGAAGACAGATTCCAGCCCATAATAAAATACATGCCGTTTCACAGAAAACATTGTTGTAAAAGTCAACATCCTGTGTAATTTTCTTTTTACTGCATGCTGTCACCAAACCACAAACTTTTCAATTGTTTTTTTAAAACCAGATGGTCAGTGATGTGATATGCGCAGTTTTTAGGTCCCTTTGAATATTGAAATTAGAGTTGAGAGACTCCACATTCATTTACAAATGGGCAGGCATTACTATAATGGCTGAGAAGTGGTAAGACTTACTTTTATAAAGACTTTATCATCAATCTCAGCCTACTGGCTTACAGTAAAATCCTGCCACCAGCTGACTGACCAGTCCATCTGTGGCACTGAAGCATCAGCTCCTGCAAGGGCTTGAACAGCTGCAAGAGCACCGTGTCACTTGAAAACAAACAAATCCTGTTTGGGTGCACTTCCTTAAATGCCATTCTTTTTGAGATGACAGCCTCACAAATGACATTACAGTTCTCCACATATCAAATTCCTCTGTTGTGATGGTTTAAGTGCATGTAAGGTAACAGAAAGCCTCGTCCTCCTGTCGACCTTAATCTTCCAGCTAAAGGCAGCTTAATGAACCTCCACCTTGCTTTTTACGTTTCCTGCCCGCAGCAGTCTTTAAGCAGCTGCACTCCTCCAGCAACATGACAGCAGGTGATGACAGTTAAACAGCACAACATACCGAACGCGCGCGTGCGTGTGGGGGGGGGGGAGCAGGAAACACTAAACATTGCGACAGCTTTCTCAGCTGCCGGGAGCGGCCTGACGGTGAAGTCACCCAAAGTTTGTACACACACAATT